AGTTCTAACTCAGTCTTTCATGAGGCTGCAGTCAGTCACCTGACTGCAGTGCAGTCAGTCATCTGAGACTTGACTAAAATCAAAGATATGCTTTTTTTTTTCCCAAATTAAATTCAATTAGCCAACATATAGTACATCATTAGTTTCAGATGTAGAGTTTCAGATGTAGTTTCAGATGTAGAGTTCCATAATTTATCAGTTGCGTATAACACCCGGTGCTCATCACATCACATGCCCTCCCTAATGCCCATCACCCAAATACCCCTTCCCCTCCACCCACCTCCCCTCCAGCAACCTTCAGTTTGTTTCCTATAGTTGAGTCTCTCATGGTTTGTCTGTCTCTGATTACTTCCCATTCAGTTTTCCCTCCCTTCCCCTATGATCCTCTGTGCTCTTTCTTATATTCCACATATGAGTGAAACCATAAGATAATTGTCTTTCTCTGATTGACTTATTTCGCTCAGCATTATACCCTCCAATTCCATCCACGTCTATGTAAATGATAAGTATTCATCCTTTCTGATGACTGGGTAACATTCCATTATATATATTGATATATATATATAAATATACCCATATACCAAGGAACTGAAGCTTCTTGTCAATAGCAATTTAAGTATGCTTAGAAGCAGATCTCCCATGTAACAGGAGAACAAAATGGAAACTACAGTGTCTATCATAACCAAATCTCATTAGACATTAACAACACTTTTGGCATCACATTGGGCCACATATACAATCCTGATATAATGTAGGAGGGACCACACAAGAGTATGAATACTAAGAGGCAGGGAACATTGGGTGCTACCTAGGAGACTGGGATAATATTTCTGAGGGTCAGTTTAGCAATATTTATCAAAATCTATAAAAAAACATATTCCTTTTGACTCAGAAGTTCCACTTACAACAAGTTACCCCAAGGAATTAATTAATAGTATATACCATAATATATCTTTAAGGATATTTATTAGAGCTTTGTTTATAATAGTGAAAATTGAAAATAGATAATCAACAGTGAGATTGTATAAATATATTAAAGTATGTCTTTATTATGGATACTATATGTTGGTATTACAAATAATGTAGAATAATTGATGATGACAGAGGAAAATGCTAATGTGATTTGAGAAAAATCAGATAAAACATTTATTTTTACTGTATCAAAGATTGTGTGTGTGTGTGTGTGTAGAAGCAAAACTGGAAGTTTCTACATAAAACAGGTGGTAGGAGGATGAATAATTATTTTCTTTAAGTTTCTCTGTATTTTCTAAGTTTTCTATAAAAAGCATTTATAATCAGAAAAAAAAAGAATCACTTTTTAAAAATATGACTGATCATGTACTGACCAGGAGGAGATAGAGCATCTAGAGTATAAAACATTCCAGGAGAGATTCTGTAGACCTGCTGGCTGTATTTTTCATGAGGACATGAGTGTTCCTGTGGAGCCCCAAGTTTGGTCAAATATGTGGACTTTCTAATGTACATAGGGTTGGAAAAAATATCACAAATGGATGGGACCCGATTTAGCAACCAGAGAGTTATCACTGTATCCTGAGGGTGATATTGGTCAGCATGAGATTTCAAGAAGATTCTTAGTTTTCATAGAAAACTTCCCCCTCAATGGAATAGAACTTACGGCCCCAAAGCTGGTAAATGGCACAGTTGGAATTTGAAACCAGAATAATAGAGTGTGTACTGGGGGTATTAGTTAAAGCTTTTAAAGTGGGAATGATGTGATCAAAGATGTTTTAGTAAATACATTATTATTATCCAATTATTTTTATACAAATTATTAAAATTTATCATCTGGTCATAAAAGTGGATTCAAATGAGAAGAATACAATGAAGCCCAAAGGGCTGATGGACTTGGGAAATAATGAGGATTAAGACATTAGACTTCAATTTGGAGTGATGAGCAGATGCACTGGAAGAGAAAAAGTCCAAAGATCAGGCTGCTGATTCCCTAGAAGAGAAGATTAGCATTCCATATTTTGGAGGAAGGGGTTGTTTATATTGGTGGTCTGAGTATTGAACTGGTAGTTGCCTGGTTAGAGATCAAGATAACTTGGTCTTTGAGTAGAGAATACTAAAGAACTATGGTATCAAAATGTTAGAATAGTCATTACCTGGGGTGGAAATGGTTTAGAATGATTCTAAAGGGAAAATGCCAGGACAATTTATAAATCTCTCCAAACAGGGGTGCCTGGGTGGCTCAGTCATTAAGCATCTGCCTTCGGCTCAGGTCATGATCTCAGGGTCCTGGGATCAAGCCCCACATCAGGCTCCCTGCTTGGCAGGAAGCCTGCTTCTCCCTCTCCCACTCCCCCTGCTTGTGTTCCCTCTCTCGCTGTGCCTCTCTCTGTCAAATAAATAAATAAAATCTTTAAAAAAAAATCTCTCCAAATACATGGTGGGAGGATGAATAATAGAATTCGTCACTCTGTGTTACTTGTGTATGTCTGCCACCTTAGCTAGACTGTCTACTCCAGGAAGCAAAGCCCATGACATTTTTTTTTCTTTTTTTCGTCTTTGCTTCTGCTATGCGTAGCAGAATATTCAGATACATCATGGCTCTACCTTTTGGGCATGGCCTCATCCATCTCATTGAGTATATATTGAAGTTTCCCATGTTCCAGGTATGCCTTTTTCCAATAAGAGGGAAATATACCTCCGAAGTAAACTTAGATGAAATATCTTTATTATTGTCTGTTAGAGGATGCAAAACATGAAACTACTATCAGAATACAAGGGATTTACAACGGTCAGAATCAGAGCCATGGCATTTACGTGTGTTTGTTGGCCATTTGTATACCCTCTTTGGAGAACTACCTTCTACCCAGATTCTTTGCTAATTTTTTAATTGGGTTATTTATCTTTCTATTATTGAGTTGTAAGAGTTCTTTATATATTCAGTATACACATCCCTTATCAGACATGATTTGCAAATATTTTCTCCCATTTTGTAGGTTGCCTTTTAATTTTTTGATGACATTGTAGCACAAAAGTTTTAAACTTTGATGTAGTATAATTTAACTATTTTTCTTTTGTCATTGTACTTTGGTGGAGTCGCTTACATTTTTTAATAGACTTTATTTTTTAGAGCAGCTCTAAGTTCACAGCAAAATTGAATGGAAAATACAAAGAGTTCTCATATACCCTATTTCCCCACACATGTACAACCTCCCCCGCTATTGACATGCCCCATAGAGTGGTCATTTGTTAGAGTTGATGAATCTACATTGACACATTATGACCCCAAATCCATAGTTTACATTAGGGTTCACGCATAGCGTTGTATATTTGGGTTTGGATAAATGTATAATGACATTCATCCACCATTATAGTATCATGCAGAATTGTTTCACTGCCCTAAAAATTCTCTGTTCTCTGCCCATTCATCTTTCCCTTCCTTCTAACCTCTGGCAGTTGCTGATTTTTTTTTTTTTTTTTTTTTACTATGTCCACAGTTTTGCCTTTTACAGAATGTCATGTAGTTGGAATCATACAATATGTAGCCTTTTCAGGTTGGCTTCTTTCACTTAGTAATATGCATTTAAGGTTCTGGAGCCCCTTACATTTTTAATATGCATATTTAGTTATATAGCTTTTTTAAAAAGTTTAAGGCTATTCCATACCTCTTTTTCCAGAGCAATATAAGGATTTTAGTGCCCTTTAATTACCCCCTGAACACCTCTTCATATTTTTGTCAGAACTTTAGTTCTATACTTTAAAAAAGAAATTTATATCATACTTGAGGCAGGATGTCTAGGTTTTATGGGCTAGTAAACAAGCTGGATGACACTGAGCAAGTTGCTTAACCTCCCTTTGTCTGTTTCCTTATCTTTAAAATGGGCAAAATAATAGTATCCATTTCAAAGGGCTGTAGCAAGGATTAAAATGTAAATATATTATCTTGTGGAAATTACTTTGATGAAATAGTAGTCTCTAAGTATGCTCCTAGATAGACTATCATAGACTTCATGGAACAGAAAGGTGCACAGACCAAATAAAATGTTCAGATCACAGTTTATTCAATCAATTTCAAATATGAAGCAAAATGTATGGGAAGAGAGGTGGGCTAGGTAAACACACTTAAAGTGTAAGTGTGTTAAAGAGTCATAATACCTGAATCTCGGCAAAGTTGACATATCCCCTCTGTTGCATCACCCTTCCCTGTTGATGATGTGGTTACAAGGACCAGAGTGGAAATTTGAACATGGGAGCCCAACATACTAAAGGTGTCTGAGGAAACGACGCACACTTGCTCCACAAGAGAGCTTGTTGGCAAGTACACTTGACCAATACCTATGCTCCCCCTTTAACCTGACGGGCAGATATGCATTTGATTTGGCTGAAAATCCAAAATCAGAGTCGGCAATAGGTGGTCAATTAAAGATCTCACAATTATCGTGTGTCTCAGGTGCTTCATTTATACTTAATGTGTCATAAGTATTTCTTGCTTCATTTGTTATTTAGCAAATCATGACTATTAAATGCCTGTTTTTGCCCCTCTACCCCTTTCTATCTGTGTTCATAAATTTATGCTCACCTTACTCTCTGTCTGATACTCCTCAGTTTATTAATTTACTTATCTATGGTTAATGCAGCTAATGCATTTTATCCATCCCATTTGTTTTCTTGTCTTCTAGAGCAGAACTGAATATTTCCAGACAATACAGCAATTGCACATTGTATGTAGAAATAACTCTATAAATGTTAGCTATTATTATATTATATAAGATGGCTTTAATATTTTAATACTATCATCTAAGAGTAAGGATTAGCAATCTAGTTAAACTTGATCAGATTAAACAACTAACTGAAAATCCTAATATTAAAGTTATTTGGCTTGATTTTGATCTGAAATAGATAATAGGGTGCATTTTATTAGACCTTTTTGCTATGAATTTAATTTATCCTCCCATCATTCCAGTTGTATAGATTATTGGCTGTTACTTACAAGGCTAGTACTACTTTTAATTTTTTTTCCTTTCCTACAGGCTTATCCTCAGTTTGTTCTGACCTACCTAGAGGAGCTAACTGCACAAGTGGATGTGACCCAGAGAGAGTATCACATTCATCATGGTGCCCGGACTACAACTCATCAGGAACATGGTAGCAGCTTAGCAGAAGAGGTCAGTGTAGTGAGCCAGAGGCAAGACAGAAATAGATCACTAAAATGTATTTTGAAAAGAGAAAATGTTCAAGTTATTTTCAGGAGACAAGCACAAATTCACATCTTAATGATACCAATTGTTTAAAATCATACACATAATATAAATATATGCACATTTGTATTTATATAAACATCTATATGTACTCATATAAACATTATTTTATTAAATAGTGGATGACCTTGTAGCTTTTGTTAGGACTGCTGCCTTTGCTTCTGGGGCTGCATACAAATGATTTCTGTGCTGAATGAGGAAGACTGGAGGAACCCTGAAAAGTATAATTTAAATTTGGGGCATATGTAGCTTAGATGTTTCCACTTAATGAAAATTAGCTACATTATTGTTCTATTTCATTTCTTAGGTCCTGCAAGAAAGTGCCAGCATCCCGGGTCTGAAGCAACTGCCAGAGCCTTCAGACACCCATTTAATGCCAGAAGGTTCTCTTGGGGAGACAAGGCAGCTGACAGTGGCACTGGTGAGGAAACTGGAAGAGAAACATCCTAAGGCTTCTGCTCAGAGGTAGGGCACTGACAGAACGGAGCTTTATTGCTCAATGACATTCGATGTTTTCCTTCAGTTTCATGTAAGATTGATTTCTTAAAGACTATTGAAATATCTCAAAAGCCCTTTGGCTTGCAAGCACTGTCGTTTTCGGGTCACATTTGATGAAGAGAGGTGACATTTATGTGTATTTCATTAAAGTTTGATGTATGGTGTTGTTTATATTTAGGAAGGGTTGCTGTCCTGAGATCTCACTAAAATACTCTGAAATAACATAATTAACATGATACTAAGCATATATCCAATTGTGAAAATACCAAGAGGTCTTTAAGAACATCAGACCCATATAGGCAATCCTTTTTGTGTTCCATGAAAATATTATTATATTTAGACCTGAGGATAAATGCACTTTGGATGGTCTTAAGGAGTGGTAATTTAAAAATTGACATAATTTCTATAGAATAAAACTAACCAATGATTTTGCTAACCAATTGAAAGTCGTCCTTGGTTGGAAAATAGAAACTATTTCTCTGATCCTCTATTTAATTGGAAAATTAAGTTTATGTTCATTATTAGTAGTAGTGTTATTATTTTGTTCAGTTTGATGTTATAAATCACAAATGACATTACAAATTGCAATTTTAATATAATAATTGCTGACAATTAACTATTGATTGAAGTACTCTTAAAGGAGTAATATAATTCTTACTGTACTTTCTTTTTTCTATTATGTTATGTTAATCACCATACATTACATCATTAGTTTTTGATTCCATGATTCATTGTTTGCATATAACACCCAGTGCTCCATTCAGTACGTGCCCTCTTTAATATCCATCACCAGGCTAACCCATCCCCCCACCCCCCTCCCCTCTAGAACTCTCAGTTTGTTTCTCAGAGTCCATAGTCTCTCATGTTTCATCTCCCCTCTGATTTCCCCCCCTTCATTTTTCCCTTCCTGCTATCTTCTTCTTTTTTTTTTTTTTAACATATAATGTCTTATTTGTTTCAGAGGTACAGGTCTGTGATTCATCAGTCTTACACAATTCACAGTGCTCACCATAGCACATAGCCTCCCCAATGTCTATCACCCAGCCACCCCATCCCTCCCACCCCCCACCACTCCAGCAACCCTCAGTTTGTTTCCTGAGATTATGAATTCCTCATATCAGTGAGGTCATATGATACATGTCTTTCTCTGTTTGACTTATTTCGCTCAACATAATACCCTCCAGTTCCATCCACGTCGTTGCAAATGGCAAGATCTCATTCCTTTTGATGGCTGCATAATATTCCATTGTATATATATACCACATCTTCTTTATCCATTCATCTGTTGATGGACATCTTGGCTCTTTCCATAGTTTGGCTATTGTGGACATTGCTGCTATAAACATCGGGGTGCACATACCCCTTCGCATCCCTATATTTGTATCTTTGGGGTAAATACCCAGTAGTGCAATTGCTGGGTCATACGGTAGCTCTATTTTCAACTTTTTGAGGAACCTCCATACTGTTTTCCAGAGTGGCTGCCCAAGCTTGCATTCCCCACCAACAGTGTAGGAGGGTTCCCCTTTCTCCACATCCCCGCCAACATCTGTCGTTTCCTGACTTGTTAATTTTAGCCATTCTGACTGGTGTGAGGTGGTATCTCATTGAGGTTTTGATTTGGATTTCCCTGATGCTGAGCGATATTGAGCACTTTTTCATGTGTCTGTTGGCCATTTGGATGTCTTCTTTGGAAAAATGTCTGTTCATGTCTTCTGCCCATTTCTTGATTGGATTATTTGTTCTTTGGGTGTTGAGTTTGACAAGTTCTTTATAGATTTTGGATACTAGCCCTTTATCTGATATGTCATTTGCAAATATCTTCTCCCATTCTGTTGGTTGTCTTTTGGTTTTGTTGACTGTTTCCTTTGCTTTGCAAAAGCTTTTTATCTTGATGAAGTCCCAGTAGTTCATTTTTGCCCTTGCTTCCCCTTGCCTTTGGCGATGTTTCTAGGAAGAAATTGCTGCGGCTGAGGTCGAAGAGGTTGATGCCTGTGTTCTCCTCAAGGATTTTGATGGACTCCTGTCTCACATTTAGGTCTTTCAACCATTTTGAGTCTATTTTTGTGTGTGGTGTAAGGAAATGGTCCAGTTTCATTCTTCTGCATGTGGCTGTCCAATATTCCCAACACCATCTGTTGAAGAGACTTTTTCCCACTGGACATTTTTTCCTGCTTTGTCAAAGATTAGTTGATCATAGAGTTGAGGGTCCATTTCTGTGCTCTCTATTCTGTTCCATTGATCTATGTGTCTGTTTTTGTGCCAGTACCATACTGTCTTGATGATGACAGCTTTGTAATAGAGGTTAAAGTCCGGAATTGTGATGCCACCAGCTTTGCTTTTCTTTTTCAACATTCCTTTGGCTATTCGGGGTCTTTTCTGGTTCCATACAAATTTTAGGATTATTTTTTCCATTTCTTTGAAAAAAGTAGATGGTATTTTGATAGAGATTGCATTAAATGTGTAGATTGCTCTAGGTAGCATTAACATCTTCCCAATATTTGGTCTTATAATACATGAGCATGGAACATTTTTCCATTTCTTTGTGTCTTCCTCAATTTCTTTCATGAGTATTTTATAGTTTTCTGAGTACAGATTCTTTGCCTCTTTGGTTAGATTTATTCCTAGGTACCTTATGGTTTTGGGTGCAATTGTAAATGGGATCAACTCCTTAATTTCTCTTTCTTCTGTCTTGTTGTTGGTGCATAGGAATGCCACTGATTTCTGTGCATTGATTTTATATCCTGCCACTTTACTGAATTCTTGCTGTACTTTTTAACGTTTGAGAGAATTCCTAACTTGAAATATTCTAACTGTAGATAGAAATGTCAGTTGCATGAATAAAGAAAAAAAATGACAACTTTTAATTTCTTTTTAAAGAACCTTTCCAGCTTTATAGAGATAGAATTGACATATAACATTGTATAAGTTTGAGGTATACAGTATGACAGCTTTTTTTTCAATTAAAAGCTATCTTATATTCTGAAATTATATATTCCTGCCTCAGATTTTAGCAGGAGGGGAGCATTTTTTTTTCCTGATAACAAAAGTGACTTTTCAATTTATTGTCTCTTTGTTATCTAAACCTCACTTTGGTTTTGTCGTTTTGGGTAGGATGGGCACAGATAAACAAAAGAACAATTTAGTACCTTGCTGTTTCATAGTCTGGGACTATCCTGGACCTGTACAAAAACTTAAGTTCTAGTTTCTTTTCCTGCTACTTGCTTTTTAATCGTGTATAAGATTCTCAATTCTCTGACACCCCACAACACGAACACAAAGCCAGAGCTCTTCAGCCAGGCCCCTCTGTTCAGGTCACTAGAATGGCAGGCCCTAGGGAGCAATCTTTGAAGTTTTCATGTAAAACAGGAACTCAGGGAAAACTGGGCCACTGGGTAACTTAAATACAGTTTTATGAGACCGCTGTTGGCCTTTCTAGACTCACTAGGCAGCCATTTCTACTCTACGCTTTTCACTAGGCAGCCATTTCTACTCTGTGCTTTTTGAGAGCATGAGGGGGCTTGTCATTATCCTGGGTTCTATTCAAGGAGGCACAGGTTCCTGCTGCTCCCAGATTTCTGAAACCTGTACGGGATTTCCGTGTTTGTCTCCTGCTGGCCCTGGTCCTGATGGGTCAGTGTGTGGGGACTCCAGTGATAACTCACCTAATTCCCTATGACTCCCTCTTTCCCCAGCCTGGAAATATTTTCTGAGGGTCAAGGGCATTGGGTGGTTGAGGGATTTGTCTTCTGTATTTTGTGGTTGTATCTCTTCTGAAGCAGTACAGTCTAATGATGGAACATTGGGAGAAAGGCATATAGTATTAGGGAATGTGAGGCAAAAAATCCCCACAATACAAACAAAAAAACAAACAACAAAGCAGTTACCGTCAGTTAACATAACATAATACTTGTTTGAGTTGTTAGAATTACGTGTCTTTAAATTTCCAGGAATGTAGTAAGCACTCAATTAGTAGTCTGTGAAAATGTGCTGAAAACAAGTGGAGTCAAAAGCAGTTTTTAATAGGGGTTGTAGTTAGATTTGTGATTTTTAGTCAATAGAGATTGACTAAACACGTTTGGGATTTTATTTCATAAGAAAATTCCCAGGGCCCTTATCTTAGTGAGCATCCCTCAGGATTTGTGTCTCAGGCTACAGCAACTCTTCTAGTCCTCTTTTTTTTTTTTTCTTAAAGCCATGGGGATTTATCCTCATTCTCCTCTCCACCCCCACAATTTACCATAATAGATGTAATTTCAGTTTCTCTCCTTCTTTCTGTTCCTTAACAAAGTTATTTTGAGTAAAGAGTAAGTACTTAGAGCAATTACTTTCCTCCCATTTTGGAAGGAATTATTGGGCAAAATTAGAACATGGTACTGAATTTGGCATATTGATTACTTTGAACCTTAGGTTGTCTTGTTAGGTTTACATGCAGTCCAAATATAAGAGAATCAGTGCATTATATTATCACAGCTTTAAGAGAGGACTTTACATTTTCTTGCTTTTATCCATGGTAATTTTACAAAATATGGAATAAAATCATTATAAAAATAAAGGAATACTGTGAAATGATCTGAGTTGTGGAAATTGGAGAAAGAGAGTTTTAAAGCAAAAACCATTAATGAGCAAATAATCTGGAGAAAGAATATATGATTGAAAAGAATAAAAAGATACAGATACATAAATCCTTAGAAGTAGCCAAAGAAAGAGAGAACCACAAGTAGCCGAATTTGGGGAAAGACAGAGAGATTGGTAGTTAGTGGCAGGTTATATGTGAAAATGAAAGATCACATTCAATTTTTTTTTTTAAAGATTTTATTTATTTATTTGACAGAGAGAGACACAGCGAGAAAGGGAACACAAGCAGTGGGAGTGGGAGAGGGAGAAGCAGGCTTCCTGCGGAGCGGGGAGCCCGATGCGGGGCTCGATCCCAGGACTCTGGGATCATGACCTGAGCCGAAGGCAGACGCTTAACGACTGAGCCACCCAGGCACCCCAAGATCACATTCAATTTT